ACGAACTAAAAATATCCGGAAAACAAGGAGTGAAGGTACGAAGTCTATTTAAAGCAAAATTTATTGGAGCCCCTGATCATGAGCTTTTTAAGTCCTTTGATTATTGCATAGCTTTTAGCATGAAGAGGGATAGAGGCGTAGCAGGTCGAGGCACCTTCTGCAAGCCGTTTAACCAAAACCTGCACGCACAATAGATCAGAATTAACTGAGCCATATAGGTTATAGTTAGAACAGTTGATTATTGGCTAGATGATTTAGGGCATACAGGTTTTGGATGGGAGGATAAGTCTCCTCATATTTTGTTCCGTATCGGATGGTGAGAGCCCTAGCCTGGTGGTTGTGAAAGCATGAATCATTTTGGTTTGGCCAAGGATGCCATAATGAGTTTGCAATGATGTCTCTTTAGTAGAGTAGGGTCAATGAAAGGGGAAGAGGAGGTTTGGAAAAGTCAGGAGCCGAGATGCCAACTATCAAAGTTGGGGAAAACAACTATGAGATGGTTTCCAATAGTCTTCCAAAGTTCAAGAGCAAGATCACATTCAAAGAACATATGATCAGCTGAATCTTACTAGAAAAACTTGATTATATTGTAAACCTATACTGTTCCTATCTCTAGTAATCTATCCTATAAGAACATAATAGCCACGTAGTCTTGGAAACGAGAGATAGCATCTTAATTTATATATTTAAAAAAATTATATTATAATTTTTTTATTTATATAAGTGAAACATTTAACTTTGTTTCTCTTCACACCGTTGACTTAGCTAACGTAAGTTATTACTCATTTTATCATGTATAATTTCTGATGATAAAACAAAAATAAAATGATAATTTTATAGTTTCGTTGAAATATTAATTTTAGTATCCTTGTCATCCCCGTCTTGGTCGACGATGGCCTCGTCGTCCGCCCTAGTCTCACACCTCTCCTATCACATCAACGTTCCGATGGGCCTCGACGAATCAAAGCACGAGAACAACTAAGAGGAGGAGGTTGCCTCTTGGCTGCTGCTCTGAAGGGCAACGACCCGGGTACCACGGGGTTCAATCATGAGAAAAGTGAGAAAAGTAAGTGTTTAGTGCAAACGAGCCAACAACAACCGAGCTTGCAGATGGAGCATGATGCCTCCAATGGGCTCAATTACCTTGTAAGTTGCTTCTTGCACCAAAACTTAGATTGCTTTCATTATTATCCCAATTATATGACAGTATCTAAACCACATCTATTTTAGATTATACTAAATGTTCATGAGATTTCATTGCTATTTTTAGTGGAAAAAATATTACCGATTTCACTAAGATCTTTCTCTTTCTTCTCTCTTCTCCGATCTACATCTTCTAGGTTTCCTTGTCATCAATGGATGCAAGTGTTGTCTGATACATCCAACACATCTCACATTCGAGCATCCAAAGGAACCATAGATCTCTTCTCAGGCCATCATCCTCTCCAAGTTCCACCATAGTTCAATCCCATGGATAGAGAAGCCCGGGTCACGAGGTACAGGGAGAAGAGTAAGACGAGGAAGTTTGAGAAGACCATGAGGTATGCCTCGAGAAAGGCATATGCTAAAACCAAGCCTCGGATAAAAGGTCGTTTTGCAAAGAAATCGAATGCAGAGCTTGAAGTGGAAGAACTCTTGTTGTTAATTTCGGGTTCAAACAAGATGCAATCTTTGATAATTTATGTGATGATAATTTTTGTGGCTCGATGGGAACAGAAGCTCCTCAAGAAGATCTAATGGAACAGGAACGAAAGAGGGGTGACAGGAACGAAAGAGGGGTGACGGAAGGCAAAGGAAAGTGTAGCATCTCTACGACCATGGATTTATGATGGAAATATTATTGATTTGCTCTTCTCCTCTCCTCCCGTATCGAATCGCAATCATTGTCACACACCATCATTGGGTAAGTTCTCGAAGGGTTAGCAAAGATAGAGGGCAAGAAGCCGAGAAGGAAAACGAGAAGGGTAAATAGCAATTGTGAAATTAATATTTCAGTGAGATTGTGAATTATTGTTTTAGTGTCAGAAACTACATGTGACTGCAAGTGCAGTAATTACAGAGTTAACTTTCGTCAATAGAATCGACGACGTGAGGAGAAATTGAGTTAAATATTTTACTTAACATAAATACAAGGATCCTAATTTAACCTTTTAAAGTATAGAGATCGAAATGCTAAATAAGACTAACTACAAAAAATAATATGTAATTAGCTCAAAAACAAGTAAACTGTCTTTAAATTATATTAGCGTCAACTCCTTTCTATGCATTTGGTTACACATCATAAAAAAAATTGCTTCTTTTATAAAAAAAAAAAGCTTCACCTATGATATAGCTTATTTGATAAGGATTTTTTCCTTCTATGAAGGGAGTGTGAGAGTTCATATATATTTTTAAATTCTTAGAAGAACTAAATTGTAAGACTATTTTATCACTACACTCACCTTCCCCAAACGCTCCCCATTCTCATTGTGCAAAGACCCTTAGATCTGTTAGATAGCGTTGGATCTTGTCATCTTTTAGCCAGCACTATATCTTGTCCTTCACACTACTAAAAAAACAAGATAAGACATATATTGGGTTTGTTGGGAAACCTCAGCACTATATCTTGTCCTTCACACTACTAAAAAAACAAGATAAGACATATATTGGGTTTGTTGGGAAACCTCGGAAAGTATCACATGTGCAGTATAAAGTAAACAAAAACTGATTTTTCAAAACAATTTTATTGAATCATCGTGCTAAGATCAGGAGTGTAAAACTCGTGAAACCGAAAAACTACACAAAGTGGTTAAGACGTTCTCACATAGGGGAACTTGTATATCCCCTAAGCACATATCATACTCCGTGGATGAAGGAGCTCTCACAAACTCTTCTATAACGGTGATCCACACAATGGACTCAGTGATGACGCACCTCCTCATGCAACAAGTTCTTTCCTTGTGATCGCACACTACCATGCAACAACATACAAGGAAGGATCGATCCCTCTTGCTGTCCTCTCACACCAAAGGGGGGGGCAATCGATCCCTCTTATAAGTCTGGTATCAAAAAATATAGAACTCAAACAAGGCAGAATTGGTATCTCAAGTTTCAGGACCAGATACACAACTAAGACTACGAAATCACTTTTTGACAATGAGGTATCATTAACCATCCAACATTTCATATGTTGATCATTCAGTGAACTCATTCTCTAATGAGCACCTACACAATATCCCTAGTGTCCCCAGACAGGTAGCTATGAAACCAATTGCCTATATCACATGGACAGGTATATAGCACACTAGTTTATCTGATTATCTCAATGTCCCTCTCGAGTAACCTATGATTAAGAATATTTAAGATCCATGTTTAAAGATGAATTGGTCTCACTATCATGATTTCATCATGATCAAATTCTCATTGCACGAATCTAAGGACAACAATATATATATTTATCATCCAATATAAAGTGAAAATATCATAATAATAATAACCAAAAGAGATTACGCAACATATTACACGTGTCATCACTCACATAATTGGCTTGTAGGACACCTATAACTAGCAATCTCCCACTTGACCTAAAGTCAATCACACACATACCTGATCCCTATCAGGTCCTAATGACGCTTGAATATAATCTGAGACAAAAGCTTTGTTAGTAGATATGCAATGTTATCTTCGGATGGAACTCTTTCCAATGCTACATCACCATAGGCTACGATCTCTCTGATCAAGTGGAACTTCCTTAGAATGTGCTTGGACTTTTAATAAGACATAGGTTCCTTCGCTTGAGTAATCATCCCGTTGTTGTCGTAGTATAAGGGAATCGGTTCCTCGCTGCCCAACACAACTCCCAAACCTGCAATGAACATTTTTATCTAGATTGCCTCCTTTACTGCTTTTGTCTCAACAATATACTCTGCCTCAATGGTCGAGTTAGCAGTAGTGTCTTACTTGGAACTCTTCCAGCTTACTGCTCCTCTATTCAAGGTAAAAATATACCTTGAGTTTGACTTACTATCATCAACATCGACCTGGAAACTCGAGTCTATGTAGCCCTCAATCTTGAGGTTACTCAATCCAATTGTTTGTTATGCAAATAACAGCCATTTGACTGTAGATGGAACATTTAAAAAAAATTTCCAACCTAGTTATGGAAGATTAAGCACAGAATTATGTCGTTCCTCACTCGGATAGTCCAATTAGAATATAAATCTTTGAAAAAATAAAATGAAAAAAATAAAAAAACTTGTATAAATTTCTTTATTGAAGCTTCGGCACAGATAGTTATTTTGAATTTTTTTGGGAAAAAATTTCATGCATGTTATCCCTTATGTTCTCGGGCAAAATTGCCATTGCCATAATAAAACCATCCTGTTGCAACTTATACACTCATGTTCAATTCTGGGTTTCTATGATTCAACATGAAGAAAGATCTAAATAGAGAAGTTCTTCCTATTTATTTGGGATATCTTGTAATAAAAATGAAGCTTCATAAATTAACCCTCACTAGTATCAGACTTTCCAAAAAAATTAGTACAATGACATACATAGGTATACATGATTAAGTCAGAATGTGATTGGAAATTATCTTGATCTGCAAGCTTTCAAACTCAACAAACAATCAGTAGAACTCCTTTTAGTGAAATTCAATTAGAAAATATGATTCAACATGATAGGGCTCAATTGCAAAAAACAATTCCAAACAGTTGGGATCAATGGTTGATGTCTCAACCTAATTTCCACAATAAGCTTAGGCATAAAAGAGCTCCATATCATTAACACCCACACACACAAAATAAAAGATCCAAGGCATGTAGTTAAGCAAAATATAGCTGTAAACATTATGTTGTGGTGATAAATATGAGTGTCATAACGAAGTTGCACTTACAATTGGTAAAATAAGTGTTTTGATAATGGAGATGCATTTATGTCCAACCATAGAGACAAAGTGTTTCAGGCACAGCAAAATGACAAGTGCATAGACCATAGGTGACTGCAGAAAACTAGTTTATAGATGCTAGCTCAATTAGTTTCTAAGTAGCCACAAGAGTATCATTAAAATGCATATATCATGAGCACACTCAATGGAACAAACATATAACAAGAGATGAAACAAGCATGAAACACCACCTTCTAGGATCTCCTTATCGGACATGTAGAGTTTGTGTTTGAATACAACATTATAACAAGAATGAGGCTATCATTCGACTGAACGCCAATGGGTGTTCTCCTAGAATTTTTCTGTTTAATCAACGATAGGAAGCAGATAAAAGAAATAGGACATAATCAGTACAAAATTGTTTAATATATTCACAAGTTATACGCCATGATACGTCATGGTAAATGAGTCAGCTTTTGCTCTGAAGTTGGCAAAAGAACAAAATTGTAATTCTAATTTCTAAGCATAATCTATATTTCCAATTTCATTAATGGTCTACAAATTTATGTGTACAAATGAACACTCTGGCCCTGTAAAAATGAACACTCCATCGATTTAAAGATAAACAAACCACCGAAATTCCTTAGTTCAGACTTCAGAAGCAACATATTCTTCAACAGTAGATCTGATATTCCAACTCTTCATTTCAATAATAACATCCGGAGATAACTGAAACTTAACTGCACCAAAAATGAACTCCAGAATGGAGAATCTGCTAAAAGGGTAGACCCAATAGAGTTGGGAAAGAATCAATATATGCAGTCTTACCTCTTAATAAACTTAAGAAATGTTGTTTCTATGACTCGAATGCTGGTCTCCTAATTCGCCAAACAGCAACCTTATGATTGTACAAAGAAGAATATGCTAGACACCAAAAACTGGGTTAATCACTTTTATATCTGAGGACTCTTGTGCTACCAATTAGTATGCTCGGAATCCACACAAAACAATTGTGATAAATTTGAGCAGGACATGGGCGAAGGAAAAAAGCTAAAGCTGCGGCACGGATTTGGGTATGTAGCATATAATACATCATTTGATTCTTCCATAGAGATTGGGTATAACAGACTGCATGCATTCAAACCAAAAGAGTAACCGTAATTTCTAGTCTGATGTCTGTGTATGGAATTTTAGGAGTCCTTTTCCTAACAACAATAGCAAGAAAGAAGAAGATAATAAAAACCTCGGCTGACAAGAAACCCTAGAACAAATAGATGGAATTTTAGTAGTACTTTTCCTAACAACAATAGCAAGGAAGAAGAAGACAATAAAAACCTCAGCTGTTGTAGATTGGTAGATCAGACACGAGCAGCCGCCAAGGCGACAGGTCCGGTGGAGGCCGCTCCACTAAGAAAGGATAGAAGCCCGCTGGCGGCGCCCGCCTCCTGTTCATCCAGGAAAAGATCCTCCGGAACACGGAAAGCCCCATGGGCTCCGATGATAGCGGCACCAGCGACCAGGGCTGAGATCAGAAGCGATCCGACGGAAGTGAGGAAAACTACGAAGATAGTGGCGAGGACGAGGAATCCAAGAGTCTCGCGATCAGAAAAGGTCCGGCCCAAGATAACAAGCGGCGGATCGGAGGGGCGGAAAAGGTAGAGGAGGCACCAGCCGGCTAGAAGGGCGAGGAGGACGAGGAGGGAAAAGGGGTTCGTAATGAGGGAGATGGCGAGGACGGCGGCGACGACGGCCACGTAGTTGACGCGGAAGTAGGCGAGGTTATTCCGGAGGCGGGAGGCGGCGTCGCCGAGTGACTCAGGGCGGGAGAAGGCAGAGCGGTCAGCGAGCTCCGACCATGGGCGGCAGTTGTTGAGAGAGCGGCGGGCGGAGTCTGTAAGGCGGGAGAGGAAGAGGCGGAAGGCCGGGGTGGCGACCAGGGCTGCTGAGGCGGGGGCAGCAGGGGCGACGGAGGAAGGCGAATTGGAGATGGGGAGGGGAGTCGGGGCGGGTGCGGCGGACAACATTGTGGTAACGGGCTCTCTGATGGACGTTCGAGAGATCGAGATATCGAGACAGACAAGAGAGACAGTGAGATAAAACGCTCAATCACGGGGCTAAAGATGGGAATGGAGACAGTGGAGATGGTTGGCTTCGGTACGCTGCTCCGAGGAGCATCCTGAGGACTGTTACCGTGATGTTGTCACGACGCGTAAAGACGGAGATCAGCAGCTGGGCCTTAACGCAGCACAGTGCTCTCGAGAGAACATCGATTTGATAGCCAATTTTAACATTGGGCGTCAGTGGCTCGGTGCATATTGCATTCGCGTTTACATATCATCAATATATTGTTTATTCATGGGTGTTGACTCGATGACTATTTACTGATCGGACGATTTCATGTAATCTTCAGGACATCAATTATAGTGTGAGAAAAGCAACAACACTTCCCATTCTGCCTTGTTTTGCCCACGGCTTCTCGTTTTATCCATCCTTTGCTTCTCGATAGCTGATACAGGATCTTGCCAGTAGTACCGAGGAGGTGCATAAAGCCACAGTGAGTTTCGTCAAAAGTAATTAGACAGTTTGATAGGACAAAGTAAATATAGATATAGATTCTCCATCTCACTTTATATGACTTCATAGTTTGGTTATAATAGGATACTTGGAATGTAACTTATTATCGATCTATCGATTAAACTAGGAAGTAGAACTGTAGATTCTTTTTATCTCTTATGAAAAATCATTGTTATCAATGAAATAGGGAGAAATTAAATAGGAGAGGAAAAAGATCTCAAAGGTGATTTGTGATAACTATATTTAGATCCACGAGGTCTTATCATTTTATCTGTGAGAGAGAATCATCTGGAAAAAGATAACTAGTAGACTCTTTCTATTAAGATTACCTCTCAAGATTTCTTAAGATTTTCTTTCTATCTATCGTAATTTTAATCAGGATCTAATCAAATTTTTAATATATTTTATATTAAATTAATTTAATCATATAATTTAACATTCTCCTACTTTTAAAAAATTTTAAAAATATTTAAAATATAAAAAAAAGGTTTGAAATCAAAATAAAAAAAATTATTTAAAAATAATCTTATCTAATTATATTTTAAAATTTTAAAAATATTTTATGAATGATCACTAATTTTAAAAAATAGACTAATAAATCTAATAATTATAGTAATACTACACTAAATCTAACTCTTAATGTTACTTATAATAGTCGTATGTCATTAATATCATATTTTTTTATGTACTATAATACTATTTATCTTTTCTAATATAATATAAAAGAACTTCTGTAATTCATCTTGTCAAGATAATTTAGTTATTATATTCAATCATAATATCATAATATTTATATACATAAATATAAATAGGATAATAAAAATAATTAACTTTCATTACATAAGTAAAAATATCAATCACAATATTCACTTAAACATGTATCATCATATCTTTAAAGATTATTTACAAACTCAATCATATAAATATATTCCTTAAATACCTTAAGCTATAATGCTTTAGTGAATAAATCAATAATCAATATAATAAAACTCAAGTTCTTAATTGACATTAGTTATTTTTAAAAAGAAATTCCAACCATCGAGTATTTTATGTCGATATATTTAGAATCGCTATAGTACTTGTTATTCTTAAAAAAATAATTATGATAATAAAAAAATATCTTAAGTGACTTGACAATTGAGTTCAACCATACGAAATTCTAAGATAAAATTTTACAATCTTAAATCTTGATTAATGGTCTCAAAGCATATCCAAAAATTGACTTCTATTATTGATAATAAAATTTACATTATACTTCTCTTATAAATTATCCTTCTATCTAACATGAATATAAATTATAAAGTGGATTTCTAATGTTGAGGTAATTTATAAAATCATATTCTATCATTTTAAACTGATCTGATCTTTTATATATAAGCATATAATTGTTCATCCCTCGTAGATATCTCATTATCTTATTTGTAGCATTTGAATAATATATTTCTCCGTAACTCTAATATCTACCTAGCATTCTAATTATAAATTTGATATATGGTTTGATATAAACATGAGCATATAATAGATTTCTAATTACATATTAAAAAAAATATTTTTTTCTTTATTCTTTTCCAAGTCATCTTTAAAACATAGACCTTGATTGAATTTTTAATATTTTATTATAGGTGTAACATTTATTGAATAAAGCCATATACTATATCTCTTCAAGACTTACTCGATATATCTTTTCTGATATAATCTTAATAATTCTATAGATTTGTTTTTAAATATCTTTCTGCCAATAGTATAAACACTCTCATTCATATCAATCATTTTAAATTTCTTAGTTAGAATTTTTTTAGTTTTGTGTAATAAATTAAGATCATTACTAGTAAGCAAAATATAATTCATATATGGAGCTAATATAATAAATTATCTCTTACTAACCTTCAAATATATATATTAATCAATAATATTTTTTAAATCTAAAGGAGGTAATAATATCATGAAACTTGAAATATCATTATCTATAAGTTCGTTTAAGATCGTAAATAAATTTTTAAATTTGTCACCCAGAATCTTTTTTTCCTTTGAACCCTTCATATTATTCATATAAGTTATTTTATCTATATCTTGATTTAGAAAAGTTATTTTTACTTCCATTTGATATAACTTAGGATCATAATGAGTTACTAATATTATGATAATTCTTAATGAGATATTTTTAAAAATTAAAAAAAATATCTTGTTATACTTAATAGCTTCTTTTCTAAAAAAAAATCTTTAATGATAAGTTTGGTTTCATATTATTCGATATTATCCTTTGATTCATTTAAAAAAGTTACTTAATATCATTCGAATGAGTACCTAAATATCATTCGAACCTATTAATTTCAACTCTTGTTTTCTTTAGTCATAAATTTGGATTCATATTGTTCGATATTATTCTTTGAGTCATATTTTACTTAAAGAATCATTTGCAATGAACTATTTTTTTTAATTATTAAGCAATTTAATGTGTTCCTAAATATCATTCGAATCTATTCATTTCAACTTTTGTTTCCTTATATTGTACTATTTTTCAAAATCATTGCTTTCTATAGTTTGTGAAAATGATAAGGGTCCCTTTGATTCCTATATAATAATTTAATTCTTTTAGATATATCATATAATAATAAAAAATGATAAGTCTTTTTCTTTTTTGGGATCTTATCAAAATTACTAATTATGATTATTTTATAAGTTCATCGACGATGATATTAATATTTTGTAGGATAGCTAATATCATTTTATTATATATCATCATCAAATTGTTCAATGATTTAAGGAATAATAACTTCTTGAATAGAAAATAACAAAAGAGCATCAACTCATATCTCTTTAATATCAAGATCAAATTTTTATGATTTTTCACTTTCACTAATTTTACTATTTTCAAACTTACATTAAATTTAACTATTATCGTAATAAAATCTATACCCCTTGAATTTTTTTTAGATAACTAATAGAATAATGCAATATAGTTCTTTGATTTAATTTTTTTTTATTCTAATCTATGTAGGATAACCCCAAATACATAAACGTCTTAGAATAAATTTTCTACTAGTCCATACCTTAAATGGCATCGATAAAATTGACTAACTGTAAACCCTATTTAAGGCATACTTAAGTATAAAGAAATAATTCATTATGCTTTTAATAATATTTATAAGAGTATGATTTCATCTTTCAATAACATCATTATATTTCAATAACACCATTCTATTGTGGTATATATGATAAGGTATACTGAGCATAAATATCTTAGTTTTTTATAAATCTAATATCTCCACCTTATGAGTGTTAATGGTATGAAACTTTTTATGTATTATATATATATATATATATATATAGGTCAGAGATGATTAAATATTTTTCTTCATAAAATAGAGAATATGAAATGATATGTAAATATAAAAAATATATAATTTCAAGTGGTTGATTAATGAAACTACATTTCATTTTAATATTTGATTGTAAAGTTATTAGAAACTCAATATTCATATTAATTCTATATAAACCATTATACAGATTTCATAATCAACTTTTATTAAATAATAAATATATTAAGTTTAACATCACTAAAAGAAAGTCAATATCCTAATAATTTTAGATAAATAATTAAATTTTTAGAATTATAGTAATATATCATGTGTTCTTAAGATATATCAAATGAATCATTTCTATGTATGGGTGATTAGTACCTACTACTATTGCTTTCATTTTAAGATAATTACTTGTAATAGAAAATCTTTCATGCTCTTTTGATTTTCAAGTTAAAATAAATCTCTATATATTATTAGTAATATGATTTGAAGTACCTAAGTCAATCCATTAAGTATTAAAAATGATTTATGTAATATTTGATTCAAAATATATAAAAGTAAAGTTTGTACTTTTTCTTTAGAACTAATCCTTTTTCATATGATTTTTCTTACCAAAGAAATAACACTTTACTATAAAATTATTTTTTATAAGTTTGTATATCATTTTCAAACTTAATTAACTTATATAGTAGATTATGTTTCAGCTCTCTTTTATTATTATCCACTACTTAAGTAGTAGTCAAAATATTATAAAATCCTTTATGCTTTAATCTTAATTTTTCCTAAATATATATCCTTGTTAACTCATTTAAATTTTAATTATCCTTTATTTATGTCACAATAAATTTTAAATGAGCTAAAACAAGAAAAAAGAAAGTTAAAAATAACTTACATAAGAATAACTCATCATGTCCAATATTTTAAGTTTTACAACTTTGTTAGTCATAACGAAGATATAATATAAAATTTATCGAATACCATCATATTAAGTTATAATTAGTACTTTGATTAAGGTGTTAGCTAATGACTTGTTAGTAGATTTAAACCAATCTTTAAATATTTTAGTGCACTAGTTATAAATTATAATGAAATATAAATATTATTATTAATTATAAAAAAACCTATAAGATATTTTTTAATTATTTATCCTACATAACTTTCAGAAATTAAGTTTGTGATCATTTTAATAAATCTGAATAAAGTTTGATATACCTAGTGTAAATTGTATATACTCAGGTTATTTAAAGTAATTTGATCTAGAGATTATAGAGATATTAAATGCATGAGAATGCAACAAAGAAAATATAATATTAATATTTTAAGTTTTAAAATATAATGAACTGTTGATATCATCTATATTATACCTTTGGGTAAAATATTGTTATACCAAATGTTTACTCAAAAATTTATAATTATAAAAAACTAATACTATCCTTATGAGTCAAAGTTATTACCTTTGAAAATATAACCTTAAACTATAAGTATATCTAAAATAGTATTATCATACCTTATTACATAATTATTTAAAATAATTTTTTAAATTATTTAAATCTTTTAATTATGTATACCATTATGAATATTATTTTTTAAGGTCAAAACCAATTCCTTCATATGATTTTATAAATTTATTAATCCAAATCACTTTGACAACTATAAGATCAATATAAAATATAATATATATTAAAAATAATAAATATTTTTTTATAATTTATACCCTAGAGGTCTATTATCTTAGACCACTTTCCCAACTACTCATTAGATATGACAAAAAGATATAAGTTACAAATAATATTCATTAAATTTTTTAATATTAATTATATAAAAACTATTTAATAATAACAATAGATCTAATAATTATTAAACGTAAGCTCTAACGATGGTAACATTATGATAAGACCAAAATTATATATTTATGTAAAGATAAATATTATTTTATAAATTTTATCTTTTTATAAAATAGTAAGATGTCGATGGTAGCATATCGATCAAAGCACAGCAATACCCTTTCTAATCGGATTAGCTAATTTTAGACTTCGTTCTATGTTCCATTTGCATGCACGACAAAAAGTTACATCGCCCATAAGTAGATGAACAACATCAAGAGATAAATTTTGGATGATCGAGCGTCCAAACGAAGCATAGGTTCGTCCTTAGGCAAGAAAATATAGATTATTTAAGAACAGCAATAATAATCTAAATATTAATTTAGTAGTAATCCATAATGATATAACTATGATATCAATTATATGTATATATTTTAATATAAAAAATTTAGTATCAAGATTGAAATCATAAATATAGTAAAACAAGAATAGATTGTGTGTACGTTTTGAAGTCTGAATAAGATATCTGGGATGTAAAAATTGTCATATTAATTTGATATGTAAAAATAAATAAATTTTTTAGCCTCTTTTTCTATTTTTCATAAGATTATTGTTATAAACGTAAATAGAGATAGAAGGAACAGAACTGTGTCACATATGATCCCTAAGAGGTCCCTTAGACTTTCTTTATATTGATAATAATTTTAATCAAATTTAATCAAAATTTTAATATATATTATTCTGATTTAATTGGGCCACCTAATCTAAGACGAACTGTAGCCATTCTGCCATTCCAAATTCTGTGTTGGCTGGCCTTTCACCGTCGGGCACTCATGTATAGAGGCGGTGCTGTTGTGCTCTCTCTCTCTCTCTCGTCTTTCGTCCTATTTACTCATGACTGCTTTCAACTTTTATCTCGTATCCACTCGCTCCGAATCGCGATGGCTGCATCCCCTCGCACTCAGGCCCACAGCATCTTTTAACCTTACGATCCAACTCGCCAGATGGGCCGGCCGGTCTAAGCAATTCTAACGCCATGTTTTACCCGAGGAGACACTAAAACCAACCCAAAACAAATCGGACCAAACCGCTTCAGCACAGGCCAAACCGGTCTAGAGCTCGTTCACCTACCATCTCCCTAGGTCAACCCATGTGCAATCACTTAACGTGTTTGTATATGAAACTATACACCAACCGAAACCGACAGCGAGAGGTACGTCATCCGTTACCGGTTGCTTCTCTTCCGTCCCCGTCCTCGCCTCACGCACGCGCTGAGATCTTAGAGCGATCGAACTGGAAAAGGGGAGATGGAGGACTTGGAGGATGGAGAGGAGAAGCTGATCGCCGCCGTCCGCCACATCGCCAAAAGCCTTGGCCGCACCCAGACCATGGCCGATGACATCCTCCAAGTCTTCTCCTCCTTCGACAACCGCTTCTTCGCCCTGGACAAGACCTCCGATCGGCACCAACGCCGCCGCGACGCCCCGACCGCCGACCCCCGCCAGTCGCCATCTCCCTCTCCCCTTGCCTCCTTTGACCGAACCCTCCGAGCCCTCGAAGGCCAAGTAGTCCACTTTGTTGACTTCAATCGCCTCATCTGGTCCGACTCTGCCGACGCCGCCGCCTTCCTCGAGGCGATCGACGACCTCCTCGACACCGCTACTGACCTAAACAATCAGGCCTCCCCCGCCACCAAGCCACTCCTCGACCGGATGGACCACCTCCTTCGCCGCTGCGTGCTCCGCCTCGACGAGGAGTTCCGTGCTGTCATCGAGTCCACCCAACCGCCGGTCAAAGATTACGACGACGACGATGCCTACCATGGAGGAGGCGAAGAACACATACCGGTGGCCAACCCCGTTGACACCTACGAGATCATCATCGACGCCCTGCCACCAGGATCCGTCGCGAACCTGAATGACATCGCCCACCGGATGGTGGCCGCTGGCTTCGGTCGTGAGTGCGTGGAAACCTACGCTGGCTTCCGCCGCAGCTTCGTTGAGGAGTCCGTTGCCCGCCTCGGCCTCCGCCCGCCTCCCGAGGACGGATTCCTGGCCGCGGCCTGGGACGAAATCGAGGAGGAGATCCCCCGCTGGATCGAGGCCGCCCGGATGGTCTTCCTCATCTTGATCCCCAGCGAGCGCCGCCTGTGTGAGCGCGTCTTCGCCTCCCTCCCCGCCTACGCTGACCTTGCCTTCTCTGTCGCATGCGTCCCAGTAGCTTCTGACTTTTTATCCTTCGGTGCTGCCGTCGCCTCCGTTGACCATGGACCGGAGCGCCTCTTCGGCCTCCTCGACATGTACGAGGCCGTCCGCGACCTCCTCCCCGAGATCGACACGGTCCTCTCCGACCAGTACTCCGCCGCAGTCCTCGACGAGATGGGAATCGTGCACAGAGCCCTGAGCGCATCCATCAGAAGGATCTTCATGGAGCTAGAGAACTTGATCCGCCGCGACCCGGTCAAATCCGCCGTCCCCGGCGGCGACGTCCATCCGATCACGCGGTACGTGATGAATTATCTCGGGGCGGCGTGCTCGAGGCCGACCCTGGCGGAGGTCATGGCTGAAGACGGCGCGAGGGTCGCCGTGCCGCTTCCCGTCCGCGTCGCGTGGATCGCAGATATCCTGCTGGACAACCTGGACGCCAAGTCCAAGGTCTACCGCGACCTCTCCCTCACCTACGTCTTCTTGATGAACAACGGGCGGTACATACTGCAGAAAGCCAAGGGCAGCGACGTGGGGATCATGTTAGGGGAGGACTGGATCAGGCGGCAGAACTCGAAGTTGCGGCAGTGGGCGAGCGAGTACCAGCGGGCGTCGTGGACCAAGGTGGTAGCGGCGCTGCGGATGGACGGTTTGGGCGGGGCGGCGTCGAGGTCAGCGTCGGTCGCGACGGAGAAGGCCATAAGGGACAAGCTGGGGATGTTCAACAACTACCTAGAAGACATATGGAGGACGCAGGGGAGTTGGGTGGCGGTGGACGAGCAGATGCGGGCGGAGCTGCGGGGGGGCATTGCGGAGGCCGTCCTGCCGGCGTACCGTAACTTGGTGTCGCGGCTGCGGCAGGCAGGAGACGCCCGGTGGCTCCTGGACCGATACTCGAAGTATAGCGTGGAGGACGTGGAGGCGAGGATCAATGAGTTGTTCGAGGGTGGGAGGAGGTCCCAGTGAGCAGCAGACAGATTGTTGGTAAGAACCAACTCATACTGTGTGTATAATCTTATAAATGCACTTCTTGTGGTCGGAGATGGAATGGAGTTCATTTTTCTTTCTTGAATGCAGTATGTACATCCATTCGAATCTTGAATGTTTATATCGTAGAAAGAATCATCTTTTGATGCGATCATCAATAAATTGATATTGATAGAGAATCGATCACAAATCAATGATTGATAGAAGGAAATCATGATATACTTGCCTGTTCTATCTCTGTTGGATTCATGAGGATGATTAAAGGACATCAATTTTTCTCAACCTTATAAATATATAACATGATTCATCATCAAGCTATATGATATAATTCCCTCACATATTAGAATCTTCTTACTTTAAACACTTCTTTTCCTCGACTCTCTGTCTATTGGGAAACCAATTGGCTGTGTGCCTACCTCTACTTGCTTTGCATCCGCCTTGTGCTCTTACACCAACGCCTTCTTCCAGTACTTGTCAATGACACTTCAGGCACATTCCTCTGTGCCTATGCGATTGAGCTCCCTACCACACGACGCCCATCGGCAGATCGACGCAATTCCTCTGTGCCTACATCTGCACTGTATGCTTATTCCTTACATTGACCTTGGTGCACATTGGCATCCCTATCTTCTTCTTGCTACTCATCAAATCCACTGGTATCTCCGATCTATGATTGGCCTCTCGGTGATAGTCCACCGATATCACTCTCTTCTGTCTTCCCAAATCTGATCTCTCCCATCAGATCATATTGTCTTCTTCTACCTCCATCAAATTGAATCTTCACAGTTCCTAAATTTGTTCTCCTTTATTAGATTAAATCATCTCTTCTGCACTTTCCATATCTGATCTCTTCATCAGATCTATATCATTTTTAGATTCTAGATTCCTCTTTCTCAACTCAAGACTATAGCTTTGACATTGCGATGATTGTTTTATCATGAAATAACAGTTCTTCTCAACTACAAGGCTCACATCTAATAATATAACAACTCTAATCTTTTTCAAATTCTCTATAGGTAATAATTATGCATCTCGACAAACAAAACTCACAAGCCTCCTATTCAGATATGATCTATTGGGTTATATCGATGGCTTTTAGTTTTTTACCCAAAAATATTCAAGTAATAGGAGAATCAATATTAAAAATAAATCTTGATTATAACTATTTTATAAGCTATCCAAGCCTCATACAAGTTCCATAGCTTTATTAATTTCTTCATGTAACCCTATAGTAAAAGCGTAGTTTAAGTCACAAATCACGTTCATCAATGGCTTTCGCATTTGAATACTAAGTTTTCTATTCACATTGATGAAAATAACTCAAGAAGGTATTACTATTGCTAATTATATGTAAAATCTAAAATTTATTATAGATTACTTGACTTTGATAGATCATTTTTTAAATGATGAAGTCATCGTTCACAATCTCAACGGCTAAGAGATGTAACTTATCTATATGAGGTTTCGATTTAAGTTCAAGAATCTGTGTAAAATAGAATTATCGTAAGATGAAAAGTTTAGCGTAAGATAGAATTATCATAGGAAGATCAAGTGTAAAATTGAATAAAAACAACCTCTATTGCTTCTAAAACTAAAGTGCAAACTATAAAATGAAAACAATAGAATTGAAAATGTGCAAAGAGACTAATTGGCGTATAGGGTATAGGGTAGTATGGGGCAAAATACATTATAGTAAGCCCCATTTTTATTTGTTGTTAGTGTTTTTACTTTCTATTCTTATCGTATAGAACTCAGAAATGATTCTGGCAGCATCAAATAAGAAAAAGATGACCCAAAATTGTATCATTCTCATATGTCATAAGCTAATTTTGGACTAACGGCTTAGTGGTGCAAAACATCAACCGTCTTAACATCTTAAATATCTTAGGTGACACCCAAGTGAATGGGACATTGGGTCGGTATTTGAGAAGTGATGCAATGTCTTTAGTGTACTTGGTTTCTATTTGACAAAAGTGCTGTATGAACATTGAGACTACATTTACTTTCAGAACCCTCTTTGTGTGCATTTGATCTATTTTTAAAACCCTTTCAATTCTAATAAATGCTGATTGCCTTGTGTTGCTTTGGATCTTTGTTATCTTGTCCTTTTCGTGTGCGATAATGATAAATTATGGAATGTATGTTCGGTGGCAAATTGGAACCCAATTATCTTTGCCTTTATAACATTTTCTTCATTGTGTAGGTCGTTTATAGACTACATGAGGTTAAGGTCTAGGTTGACCCTTGCAAATGCATATGCCTTAGGCAATCCCAATTAAGGATTTGATAGAGTGGTATTAGAGTGGGTAAAACAAATATTGAATTGTCATGGTAAAACCAACACTATTGTACATAATGGGCAACAGCAATATGTGATTATTCCGAAGAAATAAACGAGCACTCGTTTGGAAACTAGCAAAGCCATTCAAGTGGAGTGTGATATTTATACACAATATGCATCTTTCATTGTATATTCAACTTCAATTGTAGATAGTGCAATAGAATATTTCTTCTTAAATAATCAAAAAGCAAGTGTAGAGCCTATGAATTGACAAGTTTCATAGGTATTTTTATATTTATTCTACATCATGCAATGTCAACATTACATAATTAATTAAATCAAAATTATTAGATTTGTGATACCATAGTCTTAGAGATAGTATTCCTTTTAAGTATTTAATTTTTTTTATAACTTTAAAGTGAGACTATTTGGGATTTGATTAAAACATAATATAAAGATTTACACTAAACATAATATCAGGTTTAATAGTAGTGAGATGTAATAAGCTTTCTATCGTACCACTATAAATATTCTAATAAAAAAAATACCATCATTATCCATGTCTGATTTAGTAGAGGTGTTTATTGGTGTGTTGACAACTTTAGCATTTTTCAAATGAAATATTTTTTATAGTCAAGAGGGTACTTGATTTGACTAATAGAAAATTTTCATTTAATTACTTAATTTATAATCATAACAAAATATTAACTTTTACCCATTTGACTTATTTTAAATTATTATTTCATACTCTTGGCAAATGACTCACAAAGTTTTATTAGTGGAATCGAAAATAATATCATCAATATAAATATAAATAATAATAATATTATTAAAATATTTAATAAATAATATGGTGTCAATTTTATCTTTTGAATATTTTGACTTAAAAAAAAACTAAGTCTCTCAAACCAAGCCCTAAGGGCTTACTTTAACTCATAGAGAGCCTTAGATAATTAACATGATTAAATAAAAAATATTTTCAAATTTTGGTTGTTGTTTAACATAAATTTCTTCTAAAATAAAATTATTAAGAAAATATTTTAACATCCATTTGAAATAACTTAAAATTTTTAAAAAACTATAAGTAAAGAGTATTTTTATTATTTTAAGTCTAACTATAGGAGTGAAAGTTTCCTTAAAATCTATACCTTCTTCTTGGTTGAAACCTTTGACCACTAATCTAGCTTTATTTCAAGCTATGACATTTTATTCATATTACTTATTCCTAGAGACTCATTAAGTGCTAATTACAAGATTAATACTAGGTCTATAATAAATATCTAACTTTTATTTCTCTCAAATTGATTTAGTTATTGATATATTGTCGAGGCTCATGAGTTATCTTTAAGAGTCTTATCAATACATTTAGACTCAATTTAATATTTAAAAATAATATTTATGTAAATATTTATTAAAGAATGAGTCTGAATGTCTTTTGATATATTATTAACAATTAGCTCCTTAAGATATTCATCTATGTAGTTTGATTTCCCGGATAAGATTTCTTCAAAAGTAGATGTATCCATATTGCTTTGAGGAGTAAAATCATCATTTGAATTTAATTTTTTAAGTTTAAAATAATAATAATCATAATAGTTTAAGGAGATTAATAAAAACTAATATTTCAAGATCTTTTATTGAGAACTATATAAGATTTATAAATCAAAGAGTATCTAAAAAAATATCTTTATCAAATTTAATATCAAATTTTTCTAAGACATCTTTATTATTTAAAATAAAATATTTATAATAAAAAAATTTAAAATAAAAAATATTATATCTTTTGTTATTCTATAACTTATGAGGATTTTTAGATAAATGAGGCCTTATAAGGATCCTATTCATGATATAGTAAACAATATTAATAACTTCGATTTAAAAATATTTGGATAATCTATGTTTATTATGCATGATCCTAGCCATCTCTTATAAGCTTATATTCTTTCTTACAATGACTTAATTTTATTTTAGATTTCTTGGAGTGAAGAAGTTATGGTCAAACATATTGAAATTATAAAATTAATTTTTAAATTCATCATTATGATCACTTTAAATAAATAAAATTACAAAATCCTTTCATTTTGGACTTATTTATAAAACTTGATAAAAAATTTTAAAATAATCATTCTTTTGTGTCAAGAATTAGGTATGTCTAAATATATCTACTTTAGTCATCAATAATCACAAATACATATTTACTTTTTTCTAGACTTATAATATTAATAGATCTAAATAAGTTTATGTAAATTAGTTATAGTAGTCTTGAGGTTCATTTGAATTAGTTATAGTGGCCTAGAGGTACTTGGTTTTTGGATTTAAAACTATTCTTTATATATTTTCCTAATTGACATGCATCATAAATCTTATTCTTAATAAATTTAATTTTAGGTATTTCTTATATAAATTTTTTAGTTTTAATTTGAGTAACCAATTTCATGTTAGCATATCCTGGTCTCTTACGTCAAAGCCATATATCATCATTTAAAGATAGAAAGAAAGTCATATTATGAAAGTTATTAAGATTAATAGTATAAATATTATTATTTTTTAGAGCTATTAAAAATTTATTCATACTAGGTATGTCTATTATATAAGCATGCGATTCAAATTTAACTTTGTATTCTTTATCATAAAATTGGCTAATGATTATTAAGTTATATTTCAAACCATCTATAAAAAATATATTTTTTAACTAAAAGACTTAATTTGTTGCTAATGTTTTCTATGTCAATAATTTATTCTTCATTGTTATCTCTGAAGGTGATATATCCTTCATTTCATCTAATAAGCTTTAAGAAGTTTTTAAGATCTTTGGTCATATCAGTGTCTTTCTTTTTTGGTAAGCTTGTATCTTCATCATGAGTTTTACATGTCATTTCGTAGATCATTAGCGATCCCATATGTTTTTGGATTGTCATTACCTTTTGGATTCAATGTCTGTATAACTTTTGCCAAGTGCTTTTAATCAATTAGCAACATACATAAAGTAAGTGCACATATCATTAATGGACTCATTTGGCTTTCTTTTAAATAACTCATACTTATAAACTCAAATATTAATTTTTGATTCTTTTATTTTATTAGTTTCTATACGTATAACTTTAAGTATGCATCATATATCATATGCGTTGTTAGAGTAGAAATTTAATTGAACTCATTTTTATCTAAAACATAAAATAAAGCATTCAAAGCTTTAGTGTTAAAAAATATTTTTTTAAAAATCATTTCATTTATCTATCAGTTTAATAGACTTTTAAAAACTAAGCTTGACAATATTCTATAAATCATAATTCATATAAAGCAAGAAAATCCTTATTCTAATTTTTTTAGTATGTCCTATTGAATATATGAAAACATATAATGTAGTGATCCTCTTGATTACCTAAAAATATTATTAGATCTCTCTTGGATGTTAATCCAATTGAGATAACCTTGTTATGATATAAATTATTATGATCTTAATGGTATTAAAAGGAGAGATTAATAAGTGCTATAGTAAATTTTAATTAATTTTAAAATTTGATCCAGAAAAATAAGCATTAGAAATATGATTAATCAAATATTAAGTGCAAGTAAGAGTTACATATAAATTGAATGATTATAAGAAACCATGAACAAAAGTCATAAGTAAGAGAATACAAACCAATTTATAGTAATTCGATCTTTCTAATCTACATCCACTTTGGATTTCTCTTTCATCGATACCACAAGCTTAGGAGAGAACATTCATACTTAATCTTTTATAAAGATCTTTCACCTCCTATCACTTAGTATAAGAACTAAACTAAAGAGATAGAAAGTAACTCAAATAATACGTAAAGAGAGAGCTATAATACTTTACAAACTAAAAATTTAAGTTTTTATGATTTTGAGGTATGAGTAATACTACTATTGACTTCATATGGTACTACCATTGTATCTTTTGATACAAAATCATAAATTTGGACTCTATTGATCCTATCATCATCATAGATAATACTATTATGATATATTATCATCCTCAAAAAGATAAACAAAGCATAAATAGTACTTATTGACTAACCAGGTGGTACTACCAATTAGGTCTGATAATACCATCACCCCTGACTATTTTAGGGCACTTGTTGGGTCTTTTAATGAGCTTAATTCTAGCTCAAATTCAAGCCCAATGGTTGTTATAAACTTGGACTCTATTTCAATTCGATACCAGCTTAAATTGATTTAAAACAACATTTATCAAGGTATTGACTCATCAACCACTCATCCAATATCATTTTTGAAGCTTTTGACATGTTTTCTAGTCTTTAGCATATTGTCTAATTTTTAATATATTACCCTATCCTCTAACACATCATCCAATACTTTGACATATCGATTATTTTACAATAACCAATCTTCCAAATGTGATATATATTCTTTTTGACACAAAACCTTTAGTACAAAGTTTAATCTCTAACACATTAACTAATCCTTCAACTGGACATCCAACTTCTACTTTTCAAATGTAACGTTTGATTTTTCAACTCTACGTGTAGCCTTTTAAGTTAATAGTTGAAGTATATCCTATGTTACTTATCTCAACAAAATATTAGTTTATCATTTTCATTAATAGAACATAGATAATTCTTTTTTTTTATAAAAAATGATAACATAAGCTAGTCAAAACTAGGCTTTGTATATCACTTAAATCATATGCTTATAATATAATAACTTAATTTATTTCAAGGTAATATATTTTAAATATATTCTTAAAAATATATATACATAACTATAGTTGTATATCAGTATAAATATCGTTTTAACAATGATGACTACGGCTATGCTATATCCTTGTAACAATGTATAGAATTATATTTATCTTTGTGTCACATTCCAAAACAAACTAGCTTTTAAACAAATATCAATGCTTAAGTAAGGTGTATATTATAACTATACTAAAAACACAACTGAGACGATATATATCATGTCAAACATTTAAATGGTTTGTTTACTTTTTATAGAATTATATAGAATTTTTTTAGAACTGATTTTACTAAGGATTTTATAATATATTTATTTATAAAATAATTTGTAGGCCAATGATTTCTTCAAATAATATTTCTAAGATATATTTTTCACATGTTGAAAACATATATAATATATTTCTAATATTTTTGAATAATAAAATATTTTATATATACTTTGAGAATAAATTAAATGGAGTCATTCGAATATTTATTTGGTCGTAGAAACTCAAGATTAATACAATAACCGAATATTTCTTCCTTTCCTAAATAATACAAGGAGTACAAATATATAATCATATACAAATATAAAATTTAAAATGCTAATATGATCGATATCACATTGCACTAAATATTATTAGTCATCTATGTTCTTCTTATTATTTATTTTTCTCCATGTCTTTCTTTTTCTCTTCCCTCTGCGTTGCATGGTGACCTGCTCGGCCGTGCACCATCATAACTTCTTGTTCCTCCTCCTCCTCTCTCTCTCTC